TTGTAGGGTGGTATATATAATGGGTATAGTGATGTATTATTTAATTGTAGGGTGGTTTATATAATGGGTATAGTGATGTATTATTTAATTGTAGGGTGGTATATATAATGGGTATAGTGATGTATTATTTAATTGTAGGGTGGTATATATAATGGGTATAGTGATGTATTATTTAATTGTAGGGTGGTACATATAATGGGTATAGTGATGTATTATTTAATTGTAGGGTGGTATTTATGTTTTCCAAGTGGTAGACTGGTATGTAGCAGCTGTCACGGCGTTTTTGGTCACAATTATAGAATGTATAGTCATTGGATGGATTTATGGTAAGTTCCAATTAATATTTCTAGACACCAACAACCATATATTACAAAGATAACAACTTTAGTTCACGAGGACCTTGTGTTCCAGCTGATCATTGGTCATTATTGTTTAGCAGGAATAATTGTAATTGTGATTAAATTTTAAACTGAATGTTATGGCTAAGTAGTAAAGACATATCCTACCCTAGTTTCCTGGCAGCAATATAGATATGATTTAAAAACTCATTAGCTGCTACCAATGTTTCGCCAAAATGTTGTTTTTTTGAATTTCGTTCAGCGGTTTGGGTAGTAAGTTCTTGGTTATTTATTATCAATAAAAAAAAACTTTTAGCATTCGGATGGGAAACAAAATTCAAACGCGCTAAAGTATGCACGTTAAAGAATCCTCGACATTTTAATTTCAGGAACTGAAAGATTTTACGATGATCTGGAAGTTATGTTAGGAAATCGACCATCTCGAATTTTTAAAATATTGTGGAAATTTATCACTCCAGCTATTCTTGTGGTAAGAATTCATTTTGTTCTACAGACATAACTCATGTTTTTATTCTAGAGTTTTATTGGACTATTTTGCGCTGATGTTAAAGTTTACGTGTCCTCAGGCACAATAGACCCAAAGAATAATGGACACATTCCCCTCCTCGTCCAACATTTTAATCCTTAATTTCCACTTGTTGAGTCTGTTTTAACCAACATCGTTAGCACGAGCCCATTACTTGCCCTTTAGAACAATCATGTCTGACCATAAAACCCTACAATATGTAACTTGTTTTCTCTTACAGACTGTACTATTAACTACCCTAACACAATATACTCTACCAACGTATGGTGATTATCAGTATCCAGTATCAGCAGGTATTTTAGGCTGGTTTATAGCTCTTATTACTGCTCTACCAATACCTATCTGGATGATGAAAGCAATAATTGAAAGTAAAGGCTCACTGAAAGAGGTAAGTGGTAAAAACAAACCGCCCATAACACCCGACACTCTGGTAGTCTGTTTCCTAATTGATGGTACCATGGCGGGATTTCGAAGAAGTGCTGTCCTTTGTTGTCCTTTGGACCCCTGATCACAAACCCAAATTAGATACGTGAGTTTGCAAGCTAGTTTTTTCATGTTCACCAGGATTTTGTGTACACAGGGTCTGATTATCAGCACATTTCCGTTCGTGATAAAATCATGAGGTTTAACAAATTTTCGATTTGTTAAAACATGCCACATCGGTCATAAACAGAATTATGTCCCTTCCCACTTGAGCTCATTTTAGCTGTCACGTACGCACATGCCGATATCTACAGGGGGCGTGGGAGTGGGGGCTGACAAGATGGCTTGCCCCGAGAAAAATATCAGACAACCGACCAATTATCATACACCATTGCCCCTCGGATTTATTACTTGCCCCTTCGAAAAATCAAGTTTGGCTGTGGGCCTGCGAACACAGACTCCATTCATAGTCAGAGTTGTGTCCCTTTCCATTTTAGCTCTTTACAGCTAATATCATATTTCACCTTAATTCACTGTTTTTCAGAGAATAAAAGGAAGTTTGCAGGCGAATGAACATTGGGGTCCTTTAGAAAAGAAATATGTTGAAGCAAATACAGAGAGTTATTTTTAAAGAAGATTGTTTACTTTTATTTTATTTATATAATATTTCATAATTATGTAATTCTCGTTGTTCAAATAAAAAAACATAAAAAAGTGTCTTCCATTTCCATCTTCATATATTTTATCCGACATGATTTCAAACTGATTCAATTACGCTCAGGACCAGAACAAAGCACTTTTCACACTATTTCGATCACAGGTAAAAGTTTAAAAGCAGCCTTCTGTCTGGGGTAAGATAAAGTCTTGTGGGGAAAACATTGTTCTTGAGCCTGGGTGTGGTAGAGATATACAGCTACCGGATGTTGAGATTTAGTCAACGTTATAAACATATTCTCTCTATCAAACTTCATATCAAAACTATTCCCGCCATAATCTAGTCCTGTTATATTCCACGAGGCAACAGACGACATTAACTGGGGGTCAAAGTTCAACCTGTCTTCTAGAACCCTGATTCCACCATAACCAAATAAAATAGATTGTAGATATCCCCCCATTCCGGTATGGAAATTAACGGCACCACTTCCATCAGCATTCTCTGTCCACACCTGAAATGACAAACGGCGTGAAGACATAATTTGAAACGGTCAACAAGTATTCTGTAAATCGGAGCATGGAGTAATCTTTATCAGTGGCGTTTCTACGGAGAGGGGGAACGGGGGAGGGTGAGGTGTGCAGTGGGACCGTTGCTACTCAGAAAAGAGACCTGCCCGGCTTCCAAACGCCAAAAACATCGTTTGAAACGTGCCGATTTCAAGAAACTGCATTAAAATACTATTTACAAAATTATGTATCAAATACAATTGTTATTTCTGAATAATATTGAGAAGTAAGACCATCCGGCATTCATCCCAGATGAAATTTAGCTGAAGAATTACCAACCAGTATAAAAAATAGTTAACTAATCAAAAATCATCTCGGTTGATTACTTACATTAAAGGGAGGTAAAATGTTATCAGATTGTTTGATGAAATATTTCTCAGCTAAAGTCGAGTTTCCGACTTCCAGGAAATTAATGGCGAACATACTCCAAGTCATTGCTGGACCTCGGGGAGTCACCTATAAATGATAACAACAACTGTTAAAAACCTTTCTTTGATTATGTAGATTTGACAAGACAAGATGTTACTTTTTTTCGCCTGTAGTATTATTAAGTTAGTCATTCTGTTGAGGTCGCTACAAGACGAAACAGCATAATTCAAAAAGAAAGTTTACTACCACCGTATTTCTATTAAGTATTTGACGATGAGCCGATGAGAGACCACCGAAATTTCAAGACTTATGGGAATAGCTTCGCAATTTTCCTCTGTCCTTGTTGCTTCAACAATTGTTGTGTTACTTACTTGAGCATAGTAATTGAGATCATTTTCCTGCACGTCTTTTGTTAAAGTTTTATCCATCAGAGGATATCCTAGTAGAATCACATCCGCTTGTTTTACATTCGTACCTACAATAGGATATACAGTTATCAATGTTTCATTTGTATTGCATTATAATATGGCGAGACAGAAAAGGGCGAAATAGAGAAGATGTAGATTGGAAATTCATTATAGTCCTTTTTTTTCAATTTCCACCGCACACTATTTTGCAAGCGTTGATGCGCCACAAATGGTTGAGAAACCCCGATCTACATGATGCGATGCTGCACCATATTGATACTGGTACGTTGCTGATGGATGATGCCTCTGTAACATCAACAATGATGACAATACTGCTGAAGATGATAGCTTTGTTGCTGAACACGGATCTTTTTTGCCAAAATCTAACTAAGACGATTTTTGTTGTTCCAGTCACTTGATTGATCAATTTGAACAACTGGTCAATAAAATAGATTTTAAATTTCGTTTTATTATCCAATCAGATTACTGTATGTCTTGGATTAGTCTGGATTTTATCTTAGTTAAGTATTTCAGATGATGATGACCTACCTCTGCTATATCTATCATATTCAGGATGATATTGATATTGATTATCTAAAGGTATATACATATTATTGATGATATCAGTCCAGTGACTGGGTGGACTTTGACCTCTTCTAATCATAGCTGTTACTCCAGTCTCTATTGCTAGTCGAGCTGCTGTGTTGGTATAGGCGGAGTTGTTGACAGGAAAATGCCATTCATCAGGGCCCATAACCTCTACAAAATAATGATCCAATACAAGAATCAGCTTAGATTCAGGACATACCATACCATGTATTTCATACAACTTAGTGCTTGGATTGAACACTTACCATGTATTTCATAAAGTTTGGTATCTGGGTTGAGAGTGACTCGTGCCGCCCAGAAAGTAGCCAAATCCATCAGTGTATCAGTTCCACCATGCTCCAGAAAATCACTATCATTGGTTAAAAATAGATACTGACGCAATGCTAAAGACACGTCTGCTGAAATGTGGATTTCGTACCGGGAACAATTCGGACAATTTGATGTTGGAAGACCTGGAAAATATGAGCATTAACAGTACTAATGATCCAAACCGCAAAACGGAACTCGTAATCCAATATAACATTTTGGCAATACATTGGTAGCAGCTAATAAACTTTTAATATGGGAAACATGCTACAGTAATGCTAACAAAATATAACTAACTTATCACTCCTAAATCTAGTGACTCAACTTCCACAGGGACTGATTGAATCAAGTCTACATGCTCATCCCCAGAAAACTTCCATAATAAGAGATTAAATTGACGCTCCCGGGGGAGGGGCCCTAACCCACTGAAGTCCAAGGGCCGCCACTCATCTATCTGAGCCACTGCCTGAACATGTGGGTTAAAATAATAATCTGATGTATGATGGTCTGGTTTTCTGAACATAACTGAATTATTTGTGGTAATATTATACTTATTGAGCAACTTACAACGTACCTGTATAAGCTGATTCCCATGGAAACACGGCACCAGGAAGACCTCTATATTTAGCTAACAGTCGAGCTGTCGTCAGTTTATCTAGCCTCGATTGTACCAGGATTTTACCAATAGTAGAGTGTAATAACATTATAGACGGGAACATCCAGGTATCTTGATCCCAAAACACATGGCCAGCATAGTCTACATCCTGTAAAGGGAATGAACCAATGTACACAAAATAATGCAGCTAAGAGAGGCATACTCCAGAAACACCCACCTCGTCAAAACCAATGACTAGTTCAATAGAGGACATTCCCATAAAAGGTCAATTGAACTTATCAGGATGGGAGGGGGGGGGGGGTATTTTAAAAATTTATACCACAGGCTATATCACGGGCTAGTCCAGTAGTGGTCAGTGGTACTGATCAGGATGGGGGGATAGAGTATTTAGTGGTTCTCACCTCGTCAACACCATGAGCTAGTCCAGTAGGTGACATCCCCATAAAGGGCCAGTTGTATTGGTCTGGGTGTGAGGGAACTGAACTGAGTAAATAATATAGAGAAGAATATATTGATGTTGATAAATTTCTGTTTCCTTCTACATCTATTCTACCATTATTCCATAGTTCTTCCCACGCTTTCACGTGGTCTTCTACCAGAGTTCCGGCTTCAAACGCTTTGATTGCTGTAAAATGGTAAAGAACGATAAACACTCAAACTTTTACGAAGCGTGATTCTTCAGTCAAGGGCTATTTGTGAGACTTTTTATGAACATTTTGAAGCACGGTGCTCTATATCAGTAAAAATGAAGTTTACAAAAACTCTTGATCTCACCCAATTCAGATGCTTATAGTAGAAATACAAAATCGCCGTAGAGGTCATAGAATTATCACAGGACGGTGGGGATTACTGACAATTTTAAGTGAAGTGCAATAGCCGGGCTAGTATTACGTAACATCTAGTGCTGGACGGAAATTGACGAACTAAGCGAGCCTGCCTTCAGGGGAGTTCCCTCCCCCACCTAAAACACACACACACGCACCTGATGGAACGTCTCTAGTTACCTCTATCATAAGATCTGTTAGTTTCACCAATAGAAACCCCACAAGACATAAAGTAATAAACAGTTAAAACATGTATATTAGATGTTAGAACGATGTCTGAGATTTCATCATACACTATAGAAACTGGAATCGTCGGTTTACTATCAGGATATTCCGCTTCCATTGTCTCTCCTGTCTTAGAACTGAAAAAGTTCCATTAAAATATAACACGTGTATGCAATTTGAGACCTTCAAAAGTCTGAGTCTGGGATGAATTGGGTATAGAAGCTTACAGCGGATTGAGAAGCTCAGACCAATGAGTTTCTCGAGTCTCCCACCCCAATACTGATCATGTATTCGAAGAAACCAAATAAAGCTTGAGAGTCCTTGACCCCTTTGACCCCTCGGACCAACTCCTCAGTCTCTTTCAGTCAGAACAAGATCAATGTGTCTTTTTTTCTTCATCTTTGTCTAGCAGCTTAAATGATGTCTACAAAGGCTGCAAAGTTGATTTAAAAATAATAAATTTCAAGGGAAGTCACTCATATGAAATATGTGTGAGCTGCTGATTGTAAAGTTGCAAATGATATTTAAGTGATAAAATACTTAGTTTTAGTAGAATAGCAACAGCACACGACTGACTGAAAATAAGAATAGTAGGTCTAGAAATCGATGATATCAGTGTCTCCAATACCCATGTTAAACCTCTTTACAATCCCTATAACATTATTCTTACATTTATAAGAATATCATACTAACCAGACTCGGTCGACACATTTAATCAGTTTAAATCTAATATCTTCACTGATCAACCCGGGGCTGGTTTTCAGTTTCACAGTTAGATCTTCTTTACTAGAACCCATTCTCTCTACCTCTACACTCACTACCAGAACTCTTGAGTACTCTCTATGACAGTAGGTTTGGATCTCAACTCTGACCTTGTCATACAGCAGGATCTCTTGGAACATTCCTGGAAGTACAAACAGATAAACAAAGGGCGTAGACTGCCTGTGATCGGGTGTGGTGCGTTTCTAAACTTTGAGCAACTCTGAAAAGCTTTATAACTCAGGATTTATTGGAAAAGTGGAAAGTAGAACTTTATGGCATCTGATTACTTAGTGTGTTTCATAAATTTAGAAAAATGTTGGTTGTAAAATGGACCTCTTCTTTCTATTGAATGACCAGATACAATTGGTTGTTGATTTAAACCCCAAAGATCTCGACCCTTCAAGATCATCTGAAGCCGCTCCGCCACTGAGTTTATCAGCAAAGTATCCGTTTTCAGAGAATTTTCTCAGATGTTTTTTTTAATTATAGTATTTGTGACTTGTTACTAAGATTAATTTTGTACATTTTGAAGACAAACCTTTTTTCATGTTAAGAACATACTGTGTCTTTGAATCCCCAGGGTCGGACTCTATGGAGTCGATACCGATATTGATATAGGCTGGGATCCTGGCTCGATGACTTTTAATACTGGTACCATTATATAACCCGTTCATATAAATAGTATCACTTTTTACTACTGTAGCTATATGACCATTTCCAACTTCTGGTAGTGCCTTGGTGTCATCAGGTAATCTGAAATAGATTTCAAAAGTCGATTATATCTTGAATTGATAAGGATTTGCAAGTCATTTAGGCAAAGCCACTCTTGATGTCAGAGGCCCAGTTCAATCTCACTGTGCCTCATTGGCTAGATGTTGTGACAAAGGTTTTAGTTTGGGTATGTTGTGGCAAGGATTTATTTTGACTATAGTTCATTGGATTACCGGGTTTAATCCGATGTACTCCTGTTATAAGTTATGACAAGAGATTTGATTGGGGTAATGGTATGGCTCTATTTCAGTAACATTGGTTCAGTGGTGAGTGAGCCCCAGCAGCTCAATCGGATCATCTAACAGTGAACTGTTTTCAATCAGCATCAAATAAGCAAAGAATAAATTATCATTGTCTCGCCATCTGTAAAATGACGTATGTTTGTACCGGTGTCAGAAGAACAAAACGGATATCAGACTAAAACCGGAAATGTTCATAGGGTTTAGAATATAGAAGTTTAGTATTATGACTTTGTACTGTTTGAATTTTTTGACTTTGAAATATGATGTATGTCATACCAAAGACGTTTGTTGAACATTGTTTGTACCAATCAGAAGAATTCTTTCGACTTTAACTTTAACCCGAAACATATATCATTTATCAGTAAGATACGCGTGATTGCACTTACCTATCTGTAACAATTACTGTTGTGTCATCAACTGAAACATCCTGGCTCAACCTCTTTCTACGACGTTCTTCCACCTTCTTATCACCATGTTGACGATAGTATTTCTGCTTTACGCCCATCTTGTACGATGTATTTTGTTGTTTACACTGAAAGCTGGCATACCGATATTGGAACACTTTGCCAATAGTCAGACTGATAGAGTAGGTTTGGCACTACTGTAGTTATTGTAACTAAACACCACTCGACTGGACTAAAACAACCCGATCTCAGCCATAGTGGTTTCCGTTATAACTGTTCATATCAAACATTGTACTAAAACTGAACACAATTACTTGAAATAATTGTCATAATGCAACAGGATTAAGACTTAGCATTTAGATTAATCCCTTATACATGATTCCAATTAAATCACTGTGTTGAAGGATAAACAATATTGTGTTGAAATTCACACACTCTCAAATGTATCACGGAGAACAAGGTCATGTGCTATTTATAGAACATATACATATTACAAAACCTAATAGACAGAATCTGCTAAGTATATTCAAAACAATTACAGACAAAAAGTTTAAATTCCTTGCCTCATCATAGCTGAATTTTCTTGTCGAGGTATTGAAGGTAATTTGTGTGTGTTTTCTTTTATGTGCAGGCTTATTTTATCCCAGTGGTCTAAATGAAGCAAATGTCACATTATATGACGTTCTGGAAGTTATGGGAAATTACCAAGAAAGGTTGTTGCTAATTTGAATGTGCGGGTTTTTTTTATTTGGTGCGGGTGACTCCGTGATCTGACAAAATTTTTATGCATCTCATGTTCAGAATCATATAATATCAACTAATTAAATGTTCTGTAAAATATAATTAACGGTTGGAAATCTCACGGAGGCGGATTAGCTGGAGACAAATCGCTTTGTAGAATCCAACCAAAACTCTATATTACTAACTTCCCTTACACAAGAAAGGTGGCCATTGGAGTCAAAGTATAAGACGAAGTTCTCAATGCCTTGATGGGTGACCAGAAGAATGAGCATATCGCAATATCCATCTGTTTATCTGTAAAATCATATAGAGAGGAAGAGGAAGTAAAAACTCCATTTGATTTCATTTTAAAGTTTAATAAAAGCGGCTTTTTGTCTGAGAAAAGTTTGAGTTTGATGAAGTATACACGATTCTTGTGTTTTAGATCCATAGAGATATACAGCTACCGGATGTTGAGATTTAGTCAACGTTATAAACATATTCTCTCTATCAAACTTCATATCAAAACTATTCCCGCCATAATCTAGTCCTGTTATATTCCACGAGATAACAGACGACATTAACTGGGGGTCAAAGTTCAACCTGTCTTCTAGAACCCTGATTCCACCATAACCAAATAAAATAGATTGTAGATATCCTCCCATTCCGGTATGGAAATTAACGGCACCACTTCCATCAGCATTCTCTGTCCACACCTGAAATGACAAATGGCGTGAAGACATAATGGGCACCCCAGTGGAAGTCCAGAGTAGCTGTGAAGTTTTTTTTTCTGAAGCAGTGGGAATCTAATTTATTTGTTTATTTCATGGTACCTTAAATTATACAAAAGACTCTTACATTTCCATGGCAACAATTGGCACTGAAAATCATGCCATTGAAACAAATAAGAAAATGGGAATTAGTTCCAAGTTTAAGTCTGTGAAAGTGAATGCCAGCTACCCATTAGAAGAAGGCTTAAAATACTAAAGCTTTGAATTACGTTGAATGGTGGTCGAATGTTCCCAAATTGTTTGTAGAAATATTTATTAGCTGTCATGGAGTCGCCCTGCTCCAACCAATTTACAGCAAACATTCCCCACGTCATTGCTGGACCACTCAGAGTGACCTGAAATACAGAAAGAAATACAAAAGAATGACATTCAACAAGGGTAGACAGATAATACAAAATATAAACCATGCTAGTCTCCCCCGAAATGTTTTGAAAATCTTGGAATCTAAGACTTCATGACTGATTTAGAAAGCTGCAAATTTTAACATTGAGCACAGAAAAACGCTGAAAATTCTTAAAATCACTAAGGCCATAACGATGTGCAAAGTGAAGGCATTCTCTGGGTGAACAAGCTGTTGCTCGTGGGTTCTTAAGAACATATAAAATAAAACTTACAGATGCGTAGTATTTGAGATCATTTTGAGTGACAATTGTAGAAGTTTGAGCCATGAGAGGAAATCCCAGTAATATCACATCAGCTTGTTTTACCACTGTTCCTGAAAATAATGGACTTGAATTGATTCAGGGAAAGGTCTTGTATGATAATCGGATGGTGAATAGAATCTTTTCTGCAGTCTAAAAAGGTATTAAGAATGGTCCCAGATAATTATCAACACATATCTATCCAATGTATTTTTCCCTTTGTAATTAATATTTTTAGTAAAGATATTGGATAGGATATGAGTATCTTGTACCATCAGTTGAGCTCATGGCAATGTGCTCATACCGCTGCTGCTGATGATGATGATGAAGGTGAAGATAAAGATGAAGAAGATGATGAGGATGATATTGATAATGATGCAGCTAATGATGATGACCTACCTCTGCTATATCCATCATATTCAGGATGATATTGATATTGATTATCTAAAGGTATATACATATTATTGATGATATCAGTCCAGTGACTGGGTGGACTTTGACCTCTTCTAATCATAGCTGTTACTCCAGTCTCTATTGCTAGTCGAGCTGCTGTGTTGGTGTAGGCGGAGTTGTTTATATGATAGTGGTACTCATCAGGACCCATTACGTCTGAAATTCAGATTCAGTAAACAGTAAAGTCTTGTTTATCCGCACATTTGTGTTCCAGATTAAACGTCTGGTGGTTTAACGAATTTTCAGTTGGTTAAAACATGGTATAATCGGCGTGATTAGAGTTACCTCCCTTCCCATTTAGATACACATGTGAGCAGTCCAAACCAAAATAATCAGACACAAGTTCGTTTCTTGGGACACTAAGGACAGATTGTTATTCAAATACACTCTATTGTCAACGACGGCAAATCTTCTGCCTAAGTTTTTTTTACTTGAGCAATGGCATCTAACATGCCTAGAGCCCAACATAGGGAAAAGAAGAATGAAAAGATTGACAACTTTTCACAACCGACGTCTCACACTTCTTACAGCTATATGTGGTTCATTCTCCTGTATTTCCTCAACAACCTAACGTGTATTTCATACAATTTGATTCTGGTATTGAGAACTTACCATGTATTTCATAAAGTTTGGTATCCGGGTTGACAGTAACTCGTGCCACCCAGAAAGTAGCCAAATCTATCAGTGTATCAGCTCCACCATGCTCCAGAAAATCACTATCATTGGTTAAAAATAGATATTGACGTAGTGCTAAAGACACGTCGGCTGAGATGTGTATTTCATTGATTGAACATGTCTCTGATGTGGAAGTTGGAAGACCTGAATCGAAAACATATTAAACATACAAATCACAAGAAATGGAGACAGAAGTTTGTGTCGGGTATCGTGCGTGAAACAGATCATGCTTACTCTTTCCGAGACACCTGATGGTACCTATCCACTCCACTACTATACAACTTTTACTCCCGATTTTTGATTGCCGAAATTGTCTTGCTTGTATGGATATTTTTTATATGACGCAACAATAAATGTGGCATAATTATATATAGGTATAAATAGCTATTTGGACATGTCCAGTTGACAAACCAAATTCAGACATCCGGACATCCAGAAGGGAACTTTAAGATATTAAAATAGAATTTCCCTGAAAACATCGTCTCCTTTGCCTTGTGTGAACTTTGCTGTTATAAGTACCAATATTCCCCAATCTCCTAGAATGCTATAAATGCCGAATCCCAAAATGCTCCTAAATATGTAACCGTTTTTCCTAAAAAAGCTTCGGAAGAACAACGTACCTGTATAAGCTGATTCCCATGGAAACACAGCACCAGGGAAACCTCTATATTTAGCTAACAGTCGAGCTGTCGTCAGTTTATCTAGTCTCGATTGTACCAGTATTTTACCAATAGTAGAGTGTAATAACATTATAGACGGGAACATCCAAGTATCTTGATCCCAAAACACATGCCCAGCGTAGTCGTCCCCCTAAAATTTCAAAGATTAAAGTCAATCGACAACATTAAATAGCTACTCTACCAAAATCTATATAAACTATTAGTATTATACTAGGAATCTGCTTTCGGGAAATGTCAGACCCTCATTCACCGATAATATCAAAACATCAAAACCTCACCAAATTGACAGTTGTGTTTGATTTGGGAACAAGTAGATACCCATTCCCGCTCTCCAAGTCAGCGGTTAGGTGCCCTATTCTTGAAAACCTAAGACAAATTCTTATAGTCAGATTTCTTTAGGGGCTTAACAGTTACTAACCATTGTCCCGTGGGCCAATCCACCAGGGGCCATCCCCATAAAGGGCCAGTTGTATTGGTCTGGATGGGAGGGAACTGAACTGAGTAAATAATATAGGGAAGAATATATTGATGTTGATAAATTTCTGTTTCCTTCTACATCTATTCTACCATTATTCCATAGTTCTTCCCACGCCTTGACATGACTGGAGTAAATACTTCCGTTGGTGAACAGATCTTGGGCTGAAAAATAGAAAGAACTTACTTAGGTCTATCATCGGACCTTCGGACTATAATTTCGCCGTTATTTGGGACGTCTACTGTTTCATTACTTGATCGTCTGGCCAGTGGCGGAGCCAAAGGGGGGGGGGGGGGCAGAGGGGGCAGCCCCGAAAGCATGTTTTTCGGACAAAAATCTCATAACTAGGTTAGAGATTCAGACAATCTCAGATATCTCGCCCCCTCTTGGACGTTAACCTGGCTCCGACAGCGCGTCTGGCCGTTAGTCAGGCTGTTTGTTTTTGCCTTATTTGTGAAGAGTGTTTTTTTCTCTCCGGTGTCTGAAGTTTCTTGATAGACGGAAGTCCAAAACCTTCTACATATCTCAGGCAACTATAAAATGCCTTAGCACTGCTGACCTTTTTCATAATAAAACTGAGCTTCGGTTAAGTTGACACCAATAGAAACAAACCAATAAGCTGTAACACCGCTGAGGAAGGACGGTATTGATAGAGGATTGAACTGATCATAGACAATAACTACTGGAGTGGTTGGTTTGATATCCGGATACTCTGCTTCTACCGTCTCCCCAGTCTGTGTACTATATCAAAAGAACAGTTAAGTTAGCCATATACCAAAACTTTCTTGGCCTTTTTAGCACCAACTAAAACATTATGTAAAACTAACATAATCTCACAAAGACTACACTAGCTATCGCAGTTCCACCGACTGGACACAAAACTAGTCTCAAATTAATAGCCTACGATAACTATCGTTTTCTGATGTAGCCACGGTCTTCTAATGCTGAGAATGCCTTGTGGCAAAATCCATAATTAAAAGACGGAGAATCTGGTAGCTATTTCTAGCAAAGGAGCTAGGCTTTCATCTGTCCATCCTCTGCCAATAACAATCAATACTTACAATAAAGGTTGAAAGACTAGGAGTGGAGGCACAACAGGTCAATATGCTTCGAATATTGTTGGATGGAACAATAATTAAGTGAAACACTTCGGCAATTCTGTCAGCTTCCTCATCTGTAATTTGTGAGCATCTCAGGTTTACATCAACCTATCAGTGGTCAGTTTCAGACTAAATGTTCGAGTAGTCATGAAAAGTGGTATACATACCAGGCATAATTTTTACAGACTGGTGGTGCAAGTCTAATATCTGTACTCGGTTGTCCAGTATTTAAATGGTAGTTGATAGTAATGTTGTCTGCTAATGGCTTAATCTGATTTATGTCTACAGCCACGACAAACACCCGCGACACCAAGCGATGGGCGTAAGTCCTTACTTCTAGATCTACATACTCTGAGTGGAACTTCTCCCTGAAAACACCTGTAGAATAAACAAGATGAATTTTACTTTCTACTTCGTTGCTCCAAATTACAACTGGGTCGACCGGCTTCATTGACAGACGATCAGATTTTGTATTTATGGTAATACTTGAAATAGACGAATAAGATAGTCACGGTAGCTCAGTCGGTATAACATGGAAATATGATACCCTGGCGACATAAGATTCATTAGACAGTTTCCATAAAGCTTAATTCTCCCACAGTAAAAAACAAAAACCGACACAGACAAGAAGAACATAGAAAGAGGCCGATAAATATTAAACAGACAATAGATATTACCATTTTTCATATCCAGGACATATTTCTTGGTAAAGTTTCCAGGATTCGGCTGGACGGAATCCACCGTGAAGCTGACGAGGGACGGTATCCGGGCTCTAGAACTCGAGGTATTGGCACCATTATACAGTCCATTCATACAGATAGTGTCACTTTGTATAACAGTAGCTACATGGCCATTGCCAATTTCTGGCATCAAGCGAGGATCATCTGGAAGACTGGAATAGAGATAGACATGATAGGAATTGGCGTTTCCGGCTTGTGTGCATCTGTTGAAGAGTTTATGGATGAGAAGAGGGAGAAGAGTGTTCAATTTCGATATAATACAGACAGCTTGTAGCACCCTGGGATCTGGTATTTCACGTATATCAGCACACAGTTTCAAAATGCCAACATTCAATTGGAGGATTGAGATTAAAACACATGCATATATTATTACCTGTCTGTTTCTATAACTCGAGGATCATCCTCTTCAGAAAGTGTTTCTGACCAGTGTTCCTTACATGGTACCATTACACGCCTTGGACCATTTATACGCATGCATTTTCCAAGGACATTAGTATCTTCGCTAATTTCGTTAACCATGACTTTGCCATCAGCAGTCTTAGACACAACGTTTCGTCGTTTACCCAAACGTTTCCGATTTTTATGACGTTTTATTTTGGAAGCATTGCTCTCATCGATTGTAAAAGTGTGTTCACGCATGTTTTGATCCGACTCTTTGCGTTTTATAACGTTTACCTTGTTGGAATGAACCTGTACTTTTTTTATCATGGCAAAATTCACATTTCCACCAGGAACACCTGTTTTCATGTCTGTATTCCCTTCCCGATCATTGATATCATGGACGTCTGCACTTGCCTCTGATGATACGACCATATCTCGTTCATTATTCCTCGCATTCGTTTCTGCGTTTAGAAACAACGTCCTGAATCTGTCACTTCTATTATTAGTGAAGGTATATATTCCGTAAGTAAAAGTGGAGATAGTAACAATCAACACTAATACTGTTAGTTTCATGATGACAACGAGGAATGAAAATAAACATAAGAAACAGAAGCCTGCGAGTAAAACATCAAACCACTATACTGATTGTTGTGATGATTTAATATAAATGTTGTACAATGTATAAGTCTGTAAGTGATATGATAATGATATTGATACGATAGGAAGACCGAAATTGCCTTCTCCTATCTTGCCTCTGATAGCCATTTTATATAGTTGTCATACCTCAATCGTTGTTAGTTAATAGACACCAATTTTCCAAACTTGTACCCAACCTATCATGGGTATTTTGATAGTCGCTTCTATACGAGTTGCTGCCTCTTCGTAAACCTTGTATAGATATGATTATGCTTTTCATTAGTTAAAAACCTTCAGACCCTTACCTTGCATCATTGTCTGTCAGAAATGAATCAACAAGTCATTCAGACTAGGTAGGTAAATGTCAGGTGTTTCAGACTATGCTATGATATCAAGTCGTCTTTATCACCAAATGATAATTGAACTTATTTGAAGATAAGATATTGTTTTCTGTTGCTATACTTTAAAGAGAGAAATGTTTTGCTAGAGAAGCGATATTATTCTAGTCTCAGGCAAATGCTCGACTTCCTTTGATATGAATATAGCCTGTAGAACTGTATAACAATTATAAAATACGAAGTTTGTGATGTTATTTGTTTTATCAAAAAATGACGATGAAAAACAAAAATAATTTAATTTTAAAACTAATATTGTTTTGTTATAAGCTAGAAATGTTATGAACTGATATCGTTACTATTTAGTAAGTTTACGAAATGGTATTGTTACGATCTGGAATGGTTACGAAATGGATTCTGTTATGATCTTGAAAAGTTGAATGGTTACGAGATGGTATGGTTACGAAACGAAATAATATTGGTACGATCCGGTATCGTTACGAAATGGCATTGTTACGATCTGATATGGTTACGAAACAAAATGGTACTTTTACAATGTATCCTGGTTACGAAATGGCACTGTAACGATCTGATATGGCTACGAAACGAAATGGTACTTTTACAATTTGGTATGGTTACGAAATGATACTGTTACATATGGCTCTCCTTCGTTACTTCAACATATTTCTTCTCTGAGGGACCCCAGTTTGCGTTCGATTGAAAACTTTGTTTAAGTCTCTGAAAACAGAAAATGTATTCGATATATTCGTCTAAATATACCAAGTATACACATTACCATTTACCAGCTATCCATATCACTATTGAGAATGACAAACTGACACACAGTTCGTATACAATGAAAATGGTTGTGGTCGTTATTATTTTTCATCCACGATATTCATATCTACTGTTGGAGAACATTTCTTACAAGCCGATTCAGGACCTACCTCTTTTATTGATCCTTTGGCTTGAAACAGTGTTTTCAGCATCCAGATAAGTATTGGTAGAGCAGTAATAAGAGCTATAAACCAGCCTAAAATACCTGCTGATACTGGATACTGATAATCACCATACGTTGGTAGAGTATATTGTGTTAGAGTAGTTAATAGTACAGTCTGTAACAGAGGGTAACATACAGCAATCAAATGGGAGTTTTACGCCTTGTTTTTACAGACGCACACGAGTCCTCGGTTTATTGTCCCATCTGAACGCCAGTGTACTCTGCTTTCTTTGCAGACCCTCGGAGTAGTATTACTGATAAGGAGATACTAGGGAAAAATCCCACATCCTGTGATATTAATAATGAAAAACCAAAGTGTTGCAGACTGGTAAGCATTCAGCTTTAAAGCTTATAGATTGCCAGGGACACCCATCACAGTACATATCCCTTCTTCGATAGCAACATAAGCTCGCAAGTCTTCACTATAGAAAGGTTAGGAAGTAGTTTACCGCAAGAATAGCTGGAGTGATAAATTTCCACAATATTTTAAAAATTCGAGATGGTCGATTTCCTAACATAACTTCTAGATCATCGTAAAATCTTTCAGTTCCTGAAATTAAAATGGAATGGAATGAAGGATTATGTTAGAGTTTTTGCACTATAATGGGCTAATGTCGCAATTTAATGGACGAACCTTGTAACTGACAGAGTCTGTCGGCAACAGGTTGTTCAACAACTGCAGCTACTTGCTGACAGAGATCTGAAGATCACACACATGCTTTATAATGTAACATACACGGACTTGCTTATAAGCTTATAATCTTTGGGAAGCTGGATCTTCGGTGACTGCAGCAATTTACTGGTAGAGCTCAAGTTGAGCACAATCTTTATAATGTTACAAACGTGAAGTCGCAAGCTCTAAGCTAATAGACTGACACTGAAAAAGCTTACCATAAATCCAACCAATAACAATACATTCCAAAATAGTGATCACATAAACAGTGATGGCTGCTATATACCAGTCTATTACTTGAAACACGTAAATTCCACCCTACAAATTAATCAAACATAATGAAATCTGACAAAGTACATTATAGCGGTAAATCCTTCTTACAGATCCTTTCAATCTCATTCTGTATCATGTTCTCTACAAATATAATCCATAGTCCACCCCAAACAACTATACGCAAAAACATGTTAGTCTTTCTGACCAGTGTTACCGACAATGGGTGCTAGCATTACCTGCACATTCAGTACCTGAAATTTCGCCAGGACAGTGGCATTATCTTATTTCTACTTCTACATTGTATTTATACTTTGAGTAAATCATCTCATTAGAAATCTCTTATGGTACAAGGTAAGTAGGTTTATATCTATCATTAAACACATGATACCAGTTATAACCGATCTTTTCTTCCACGACATAACTCCTATTAAATCTACCACCGTCGTCACCACAATCTCCGTTTGTACAAACTATAAATATCAACGATTGGGACAAATTCATTTTTTCATGTATGACAGAAGAAAAAAAGAAAGAAACAACTATATTTTACAAGGATAATAACTTAGTTTCACAAGGGATCCATTCTACTAGCTGATACTGGGTCAAACCTGACATTGACTTTGCCCGAATTATTCGTACTTATTTACAGCTGCGTCGAGTTTGTACATACAACGATTTTATTGGATTGTACGATAGCAAATACAGCTAAAGAAAATCCTCAACAGAAAGACTAGAAACCATATTTCATCGCTTCACCTGAAGATGACACTGTTGATTGTTGAAACGTAGTGTGTAATAAAACTAAAGAGTAGTATACCATAAAATAGTGTCCGTTATTTAAAGAAACAATATGGCTGCTACTGTCCTGGTGTTACTGTCCTGGTGTTACTGTCCCGGTGTTACTGTCCTGGTGTTACTGTCCCGGTGTTACTGTCCTGGTGTTACTGTCCTGGTGTTACTGTCCTGGTGTTGTTGTCCTGGTGTTACTGTCCTGGTGTTACTGTCCCTGGTGTTACTGTCCTGGTGTTGTTGTCCTGGTGATACTGTCCTGGTGTTGTTGTCCTGGTGTTACTGTCCCGGTGTTACTGCCCTGGTGTTACTGTCCTGGTGTTGTTGTCCTGGTGTTACTGTCCTGGTGTTGCTGCCCTGGGATTGCTGCCCTGGGATTGCTGCAAGCAAGTTTTATATCGAATTCTGTAGCAGATTTAATAATAAGAAGACACTTTTTTACGTTTTTTTATTTGAACAACGAGAATTACATAATTATGAAAATATTATATAAATAAAATAAAAGTAAACAATCTTCTTTAAAAGTAACTCTCTGTATTTGCTTCAACATATTTCTTTTCTAAAGGACCCCAATGTTTATTCGCCTGCAAACTTCCTTTTATTCTCTGAAAAACAGTGAATTAAGGTGAAATATGATATTAGCTGTAAAGAGCTAAAATGGAAAGGGACACAACTCTGACTATGAATGGAGTCTGCGAACGCAGGCCCGCAGTCAAACTGGTTTTCTTCGAAGGGGCAAGTAATAAATCCGAGGGAAATGGGAAGGGACATAACTCTGATCATGAATGGACAGCTGACAAGGCCCATGAGAGCTTACACAAGACGACATTAGACAGCACCTCGTCGTATCCCGCCAGGGTTTCCCAAATTTCGAAAATCAATCATCCTGTGTCTGATGTTTATGGTTTATCGTGTTTTGTTTTTACTACTTACCTCTTTCAATGAGCCTTTACTTTCAATTATTGCTTTCATCATCCAGATAGGTATTGGTAGAGCAGTAATAAGAGCTATAAACCAGCCTAAAATACCTGCTGATACTGGATACTGATAATCACCATACGTTGGTAGAGTATATTGTGTTAGAGTAGTTAATAGTACAGCCTGTAACAGAAAACAAGTTACATATTGTAGTATTGAATGGTCCGACAAATGTCTTCGTGTACATCCTGATCCGATTCAATACGACACAAACAAGAGCAGTCCACTTTTTGGAGTAGAATACAGATTATTGAAACTAAAAAAGTCAACAGACGGCTTCTAATAGGGCTGTTGTCAAATAATATCCAGGTTAAACAGGCCCAAATGTGGAATGAACGACCAAAACGAGATAAATGGCTGATAAAATTCTTACCGCAAGAATAGCTGGAGTGATAAATTTCCACAATATTTTAAAAATTCGAGATGGTCGATTTCCTAACATAACTTCCAGATCATTGTAAAATCTTTCAGTTCCTGAAATTAAAATGTCGAGGATTCTTTAACGTGCACAGTTTGTAGTAGTGCTCAGGCGATAAGCATGCTAGTCTCTGTTCATGGGCACACCATGCTAGAAAGATAGTAGACCGGATCATCGTTATTCAAGTCATGTCGGCTATAAATGAATAAGTTAATCCAGGATTTAGACAAGGACCAGCTGGTAGATAGGATCCTCATGAACCACAATTGATATGATTGTAAAATCATGGCCAAGGATCAGCTGGAACACAAGGTCCTCGTGAACTAAAGTTGTTATCTTTGTAATATACGGTTGTTGGTGTCTAGAAATATTAATTGGAACTTACCATAAATCCATCCAATGACTATACATTCTATAATTGTGACCAAAAACGCCGTGACAGCTGCTACATACCAGTCTACCACTTGGAAAATATAAATACCACCCTACAATTAAATAATACATCACTATACCCATTATATATACCACCCTACAATTAAATAATACATCACTATACCCATTATATATACCACCCTACAATCAAATAATACATCACTATACCCATTATATATACCACCCTACAATTAAATAATACATCACTATACCCATTATATATACCACCCTACAATTAAATAATACATCACTATACCCATTATATGTACCACCCTACAATTAAATAATACATCAGTATACCTATTATATATACCACCCTACAATTAAATAATACATCAATATACCTATTATATATACCACCCTACAATTAAATAATACATCACTATACCCATTATATATACCACCCTACAATTAAATAATACATCACTATACCCATTATATATACCACCCTACAATTAAATAATACATCAGTCTACCCATTATATATACCACCCTACAATTAAATAATACATCACTATACCCATTATATATACCACCCTACAATTAAATAATACATCACTATACCCATTATATATACCACCCTACAATTAAATAATACATCACTATACCCATTATATATACC